ATAACTATTAAGCTGCTATTTACAGCTTATAAGCTGCCATTTACAAAGGACTTTGAATACAACCAGGCATAAATTGAGAGTATTATGAAGTTAGCTCATGTGATAAGATAATTTTAGGTAGAAAAAAAGAGGCAGAAGAAAGTCTGTACAGGGGTGTCTGGGTGGCTCAGTCGGTTAAGACTCTAACTCTTGAGTTCCAGCCTCAACTTGGGCTCCATGCTGGGCATGGAGCCTACTTACCAAAAAAAAGGAAAGTCTATACAATATGATCTCAGATATAGAAAACATGTATATGTAATGAACAGAGACCAGGAGGAAATTTATTAAAATGATAATACTCATAATTTCTGAATAGTCATCTCTCTGAATTAGTTTGTTTCTTTCTTACTCTTTTCTATATTTTTTACATTTCATATAATGTATCTGTTTAACAGAAAAAGTTACTAATTTTCCAGCTTGGGAAAATGGACTCCTAAGTGCTTTGTAACCTATAAAGTGATATATCCATGTGAAGGTAAAATGCTTTCTGATTAGCTTGAACCCTCTAGGTTGATACTCTCATTCCCATTTTACAGTAGAGGAAAACAAGGCTCAGAAAGGTGATATGCCTCCCTTAGGTTCACAGCAGGAGGGTCAACAATGAACTGTGAGACCTGATAAGCAAAGTTGAGACAGGAACAAGTGGAAGTTATCACCACCAGAGAAGTATGACCGTGAAAGGGGAATGGAAATCACTCTGAAGAAACAAACAGGAATATAAAGTATCTCACACTATAATGCACAGACAGATAGACTGTCAGAAACTTTCCGTGGGTTATTCTCACTAGGTTCATTATGGAGCAGGAAACTTTTACTCCAATGGGACAGAAATTTCAACAATATATCGTTTTCATCTATTAAATTACCAACCCCCCCCCCCCAAAAAAAAACCCCAAACCCAAAACAAAATAAGGATAATATAAGTGCTGGTAAGCATGTAGTACCATACACTCAGACACCACAGATAATATTTAGAAAATATGGCAATAAAATCGGAGAAGCCTTAAAAATGCTTTATGTCCTTTGATCAGGTTATTCCAAATTCTAGGGAATGATCCAAAATATATAGGAAGCTGTGCATGAATGAACAACTCATGGCAGTTCTATTTTTTTAATGTTTATTTTTTATTTCTGAGAAAGAGAGAGGCAGCGTGAGCAGTGGAGGGTCAGAGAAAGAGGGAGACACAGAATCCGAAACAGGCTCCAGGCTCTGAGCTGTCAGCACAGAGCCTGACTCCACGAGCTGTGAGATCATGACCTGAGCCAAAGTCGGACGCTCAACCGACTGAGCCACCCAGGTGCCTCTCATGGCAGTTCAATAGTGAAAAAATGTAAAAACCTGTGTGATACATCCATTCCATGTGAACTTTAAAAAAAACTTATCCTCATAGAGTCTTTTATCTTTCTGAAGTATAGATTACATGGATGTATGTATTTGTCAGAATTCATCTGTATTATACTTAAGTTCTGTGTATATCTCTGTTTACAAATTTTATACTCTTTTTTAAGAAAAATTTAAACGTTTTACTTATTTCTGAGAGAGAGACAGACAGACAGACAACGTGGGCAGGGGAGGTTCAGAGAGAGAGGGACACACAGAATCTGAAACAGGCTCCAGGCTCTGAGCTAGCTGTCTGCACAGGCCCCGACACAGGGTTTGAACCCACGAACCGTGAGATCATGACCTGAGCCAAAGTCAGACGCTTAACCGACTGAGCCACCCAGGTGCCCCACAAATTGTATACTCTTGAAGAAGAACATGAAGTGGGGGACTTCCCCTACCAGCTATCAAGATTTACTGTAAAGCTTTAGGGGCACCTGGCTGGTTCAGCCAGTAGAGTATTGCAACTCTTGATCTTAAGAGTCATGAGTTCAACCCCCACATTGGGCATGGAGCCTACTTAAAAAAAAAAATAAATAAATAGAAAGCTTTCTTATAAAGCTTTAGTCATTTCGACAGGGTATATTTGGCATAGATCAATGGATCACAATAGAGTGGGCAGAAACAACCACGTATTTATGGACATTTAGTCAATGACAGAGATGGTGCTATAGGCAACTGGGGGAAGGATACAAGTGGTGCTGGGACAACTGCTTATCCGGATGGGGGAAAAAATGAAACAGAATTCCTACCTCTTACGACATACATATTTCAATTATAAAACTGGGAGGACAGTACAGGAGAAATTCTTTAGGACCTTGGGATATATAGATTTCTGAGAACAAGACAAAAATCTCCCACTAACCCTAAGGGAAAAGAGAAATTTTATTACATTAAAACTAAGAATTTCTTACTTATCAAAAAACAACACAGAGGGTGAGAAGACAAACTACAAACCCAGAGAAAGATAGCTGCAACACATATGATTAAACTGTGCAAAGAATTCCTGTTAATTGAAAAAACCCAACCACCTATTTTTAAATGGTGAATGCAATTTTACAGAGAAAGGATGCATATTAATAAATAGCATATGAATAGGTGCTCACCCTCATTAGTAGTCACAGAAATACAAATTAAAACCACAATGAGAGCTCATTTCATACCTGCCAGGTTGGCAAAATATAATGATTTGATAATAGGATGTACCGGTAAGGGGTTAGAACAAGAATTTTTATCTAAAGTTGGTGGGAGTATAGAATGATGCAACCACTTTGGGAAACAGATTAATAATACCTAGTTAAGTCGGACATGAGCATATCTGAAGAATGTTATAGTAGTATTTTTTGTAGTAGAAAAAACAACTCAATGTCCATCAACAATTTATTATTACTTTTATTTTCTTTTTTCTTTTTTCTTTTTTTTATTATTACTTCTAATGTTCATTTATTTTCAAGAGAGAGACAGAGTACGAGCAAAGGAGGGGCAGAGAAAGGAAGACAAAGAATATGAAGCAGCAGGCTCCAGGCTTGGAGCTGTCAGCACAGTACCCTACACAGGGCTCAAACTCACCAACCATGAGATCATGACCTGAGCATAAGTCAGATGCTCAACCGACTGAGCTACCCAGGCGCCCCACCCATCAACAATTTAATGAATTAGTAAATTGTGGTATATTCATACAATGGATGATACAGAAAATAAATGAACCATAGTACAGCATCTACACGAATGCCTCAAAAACAACGTTGAGAGAAAAGAAAGTTGCAGAAAAATATATACAGAATGATTTCATTTACACATAGGGCAGTGTTTTATGGACACATGCACCAACTTGATAGAAGTGGTCACAACAGCCACAAATGTGGGTGAGATAGCATAGGAAAGAGCAGAGTAAGAGGAAAAAGAAACATCAGTCCTCAAGGGCACTAGAGAAGGAGGAAGTTGCTAAGGTCAGAAAAGGACCTAAGTAAGCAAGAAAAACTATGGGGAGGAAAAACAGGAAAGTGGAAGCCGAGGGCACGTTGTGAAACAGGAAAGTGGAAGCCAAGGGCATGTTGTGTGCGCTGCAGGGAGGTGGGAATGCACGCTGAGGCACATCTGTTGGATTTAGCCAGGATCCCTGATGCTTTCAGCTGCAGAAATTTCAGCAGAGCCTAGGGGTAAAGGCCACATAGCTGAGAACTGAGTGGGAGGTGTAGAAGTGCAGATCCAGAAAGGGGCAACCCTGAAAAAGTTTGAGAAGGGGAGGAAGAAAATGGACAGCAACTGGGGAATGGAGTGTGGCTGGGGTTTTCTGAAAGATGTTAAAGGGTTTTCAGGTGGCTAGTTATCTCCACAGGGAGATACATTTTTCACACCCACCAGGTCAACAAAAATTTGTTAGGATGACAAGAGGTGAATGAGATGCGGAAAAACAGGCCCTCTCGGATACTGCTGGTGGGAAGATAAACCGTGAAACTACCTTGGAAAGCAATTTGGCAATATCTAGGAAAGCTACAAATATATCAGCCCATAAACTCCACTTCTAGGTATATTTCTGCGCCAGAGACACCCACGCATGTGCACTAAGACAAGTACAGAAATGTCCATTGCTCCATGTAGGCAATAGCGATAGACTGTATATAACTTGAGCAAACAGATAAATTAATCATGGAATGTATACAATGAAATACTATCTGGCAGCAAAAGCAAAAATAAATACATTTAAGCTATATACATGACTCGTACAAATTAATATTTTTTTAAAATTTTCTGATTTTATTGCTTGTAATGAATTTATTTATTTATTTTTTTTAATGTTTTTATTTATTTCTAGGAGAGAGAGAGACAGCGTGAGCAGGGGAAGGTCAGAGAGAGAGGGAGTCACAGACTGAAACAGGCTCCAGGATCTGAGCTGGCAGTCAGCACAGAGCCTGACGCGGGGCTCGAACCCACGAACCGCGAGATCATGCCCTAAGCGAAAGCCGGACGCTTAACCGACTAAGCCACCCAGGCGCCCCCGTACAAATATAATATTGACAGAAAAAAGCAAGCTGCATAAGGCTAAGTACAGTATGGTACATTTATATAAAGGTCTTAAATACAGAAAGAATTCTATGAAACGTTTGATTTACACATATGTAGTAAAAGTACTAAAATGCATACAAATTTACCTGATACTAAAGCAGGATAGTGATTACCTGGAGGGGAGCAAGGTGGAAGATCTGGGATGTGCTAGGTACTTGACATATCGCAACTTTACGTATAATCTGTGCGGTAGGTATCATTTGGTCTATTTTACTAAAGAGGAAACTGCAGCTCAGGAAAGTGAATTGGTTAGAACGGCAGTTCCACTCAATTTTGACTTCGGATTTCCTGGCTGAACGAATGAAAGAAAGAACAGCCTCAGGTTTGCTCTCCGGCCTCTCCCTGAGCTCCCTTCCAAACCCAGCGCGGACAAAATCGGTTTTTCTCCGCGGCAGGAATCGAAGTCTGTTCCGGCCCCGCCCCCGCACGTTAGGTCCCGCCCCGAACCGCTCAGCTCTAGCGGGATCATGAATATGCAAACTAGAGGGACTTATTTAAAGGCGCCGGCGCCACGCACAGATTCCTGCTCAGCACCGCCCTTCCTGTGCGAGTCTGTAACCCCAAGGCAAACCCCTTCGCCCGTGTGCATCACTGTGCGGAAGCACTGCCAGCATGTCGGACAAACTGCCCTACAAAGTCGGTGAGTTCCAGGAATGCAGCCGGCCGGGTCGACTCCGCGCTCGCTGGGGGGCTCGTTGGGGAGGCGGCCCCGGGGCCCACGCGGGGTTCTCAGGACCCCTTGAATCGCTGGCTCGGCGCGATCGTGGCCGCGCGATGCCACCTGGGGGCTGGAGTTCTCACGTCGCAGTGAGCGGGTCGTTAGAGGCGGCCAGGGACTACAAGTCCCGGAGTGCCGCGCGAGGCCCGGTGCAGCGGCGCGGGCTGCGGAACCGCCAACTGGCGGCGTGTAGCGCTCGGAAGAGGCTGGAATTGCCGGGGCGCGCGCACCTGGCAGTGGCCTGGGACGTTTGGCACCTGCTGGGACCTACTTCAGAAGGCCACGATCCTGCCAGCTGGTGTGGATCGGCCCCTTGGCCAGCTGGGTGGATCTGGACAAGTGCCCATTCCTCTCTGGGCCTCCTGTAGGGAAGGCGAGGGCAGTGGAGTCCCTCAGGCGTGGGAGAAGAGGCCTGGAGAGCGAGCCTGAGGTCGACACTAGTCCACTCACAGGGTACTTTGAGTTCGTTACTCAGCCTCTGGGGTTACTCTCCTGCAACAGGGACAGTCGTGCAGAGAATCTCGAAGGCAACTTGGAATGCTTAGAAAAATCCTTGCAGTTTATCAAGTTGATAAACTGATAGTTAATGTTTACCGGGAATGGGCACCACCTTCTACCTTTATTGTAGATTAATTCATTTTGTTCTCACGACTTTTTAGGGAAGGGACTGTTTCTCATTTTATGATGAGTATACTGAGACACAGGAATAAAGATAACCTTGCTCAGGATCTTAACAGCTGCGAGGTGGTCTAGCAGGATTTGAACCGTAGGCCTTGTTTGCACACCTTTTCACTGCTGTGTATAAGTGAACACACTTGGAACAAACCTAATGAACTCTCAGCACGAATCTGTTCAGGCTGCTGGCAGTTTTTAAAGTAAATTCAAGACACCATTAAACCTGGAGGAAGGCATCAGTATTTATGGAGCACTTGGAGTGTATCCACTGATTTGTGTGTGTTTACAAGATAATCTTTGAAGGTGGACTTTATCCCATGATAGGAAGAAACTGAGGCACTAGTAGGATGTAGTTGCAAAGATTCTGTGGAAATAGTAGCTTATCAAGTGGACATAATAGACCGTTGGTCCCATACAACCGAAAGCCAGAAAGGTTAAGTCAAGGTCACTTCAGTGCCTGAGCTCATACTGTGGAGAGATCAGCCAGTCAGGATTGAGAGCATTGGGTTGTGTGGAAGGAGAAAAGGCTGCATTTGGAAGTTGGGGAGCTTGGGTGGATAGGATTGGAGGAGGAAGCGCCCATCAGAAAGGGCATTTTATACCAGAACCTGCCCATATCACATCTTTTTATTTTCTTTAAGTTTATTTATTTATTTTGAGAGAGAGAGAGGGAGAGAACATGAGCAGGGAAGGTGCAGAGAGAGAAAGAATCCTAAGCAGGCTCCACACTGCTAGCACAGAGCCCCATGCAGGGCTTGAACTCATGAACCGTGAAATCATGACCCAAGCTGAAATCAGGAGTCAGATGCTTAACCGACTGAGCCACCCAGGTGCCCCCCACATCACATCTTTAATCCTCAGGGCTCATAGCAAGGTTGGAGATCATTATTTCTACTTTACAGATGAAGGAACTGAAGCTCAAAATAGGCATTGGGTCTTCCTCTTGGTTTGCCTTAGGTACATGTTCCTGAAACTTCTGTAATTCCTTTGCAACCCAGGGACCAAATAACCCAAAACTTAGAGCACTAGACCCTCTTGTGCTCTTGGAGTTGCAGGACCTATGGAAAACTCTGGGGCTGGCATGGCTGTCCTGAGGCCAGTGAGGAAGTTATTTTTAGCTAGAGGGACCTCTGGTGGCAGAGGGGATGGAGCTTAGCCGGATAGGACAGAGCCTATTGTGTGCTACTTGGGGGGCCCCTCCCACGATCCTTGATCCTTGAGAAGGGCCTCTGGCTGTAGCCCTGCCCCTCTCCCGGGCCACCCCCACCACCCCCGTTGACTGGCTGTGGAACTTGGGGCAAACTCCTCTCTGGGCTCTTTCTTCATAGGTAAATGCAAATGCTGGGAGTTGGGCTAGGTTCCCATTTGTCTCTTTTTTGCCACACCTGTCTTGTGCCAGCCACTTTCCTGGACCCTCTCTCAATCGTTTCCAACAACAGAAATGGTCAGTAGACGTTTTCAGTTTCTGCGCCAGGCCCTGCAGGGCACTGGAGATACAAAGGTGACTGGAGGAGAAGTGGAGGACAGACCTGCATCTGGATAATGTCGTGGGATTCTCTCCATTTTGTGAGATCTGCGCACTTCTCCATCTGCCTGGCCACCTCCCCAGTTCTGGTCTCCCTCCTTCCTCCCTGGTCTCTTGCTCCACGGACACATGCAGCAACCAAGGGCATCTTTTCAAAAGACAGATCTGGTCATGATACTCCCCTTAAAACTTTGGAGCTTCCCACCTCACTGGGACTAAAATCCTGACTCTTCCTCTTACTCCCTACCAATAGAGTCACCCTGGTGCACTCTGTTACTCCAGCAAGAATACATACACCAGGTTCTTTGCTGTTTCTAGGTGTTTGTTGAGTGTCTACTCTGTGCCAGATACTATATCAGGTGCTTGAGGAGGAGCCTTCCAGGCTAAGAGAACTGCTTGAATTAAAGCCTTTAGGTGGGAATGAATTTAGCTCCTCTGAAAGGAAGGTGGTGTGATTGAACAGCTGGTGAGGGGGGAAAAGGGTGGAGAGGTGGGGGGAAAAGGGCTGGCAGTCAGTAGTTAGGATTTTATTCAGAGGTAAGGGGAAACCAGTGGAGATTTGTTTGTTTTTTACTTTCCTGGAAAAGTGGAGGTGATATAACTTAAATTTTAAAATGCTTCTTCCTCGGGCTTCTGTGGGAGGAATAGCATGTGGGAGCAGGGAGACCAGTGCGGAGGCTGCTTCAGTGATTCAAGGCGATGAAATGTGTTGGAACGTTGCAGATGGATTGGAAGGGAGCTAAAGGGGGAAAGAAGAATCAAGAAATCTTAAGGTTTGCGCTGGAGTGGCTGGTTGAATGATGGTTTCATTTCCTAAAATGGGAAGATTGGGGAAGTAAAAGTTTGAGAGGGAGGACAGGGAGTCCCAGGGGCTCAAACATGACCTAATAGATCTAGCTGGGCATCCAAGTAGAGATGCTGAGTAGATAAGTTCTCCCCTAAATTCAGGGGAAAAGTTTGGGCTGGAAGGAATTTGGGTAGGAGTCATGGCTGTAGGGAAGGTATTTAAAACTTGTAATGTGATGAGCTCATCTGGAAAGAGGGAGATGATGGAGCCTTGAGGGCTTCCAAACATTAGAGTGAGTTATAGGAAGAGGTGCTTAGAAGACAGGAAGAAAATCACAGAAGGACAGGCATGGAAGTCAAGAAAAGACAGGATTTCAGAAGGAAGGTGAAATTAGTGGGGAACAGTGCTTCAGGGAGACCGTGAACATAGATAGTTGACCATTAGATATAGAATTAGGCCAGTCTTGGAAGACCTGGGGAAGAATAGTTACACTGGAGTAGTGAGGTCTGCAAGGAGGTATGAGTACATGGGATCATGCCCCACCCTCAAGAGACCCCTCTCTTGTACCAAAAGAATGCTTGGTGTGTAGTTACAGATGAAGAGTGGATTCCATGGTGGAAACATGAATTCTTCTGAATTCTTCTTAATGAATTGTGAAGTAAGGTCATTAGTTGATGAGGAGAGGCATTAGAGGTTTAGATAGAGTAGGAAAGAAGAATGACTTTACTATGAAAATGTACTAGGATTGTAGAGTGTCCCTTGAGATTCTTGGTCTTGGAATGGTTGTGATTTTCCTCCTGCTGGGCTCTTTGGCTTGGGTGCAGTGGAAGGTTGGGTTTAACCAGGGTGGGAGTTTTGTTGAGGAGTTCTCAGAGGAGACAGTGGAGTCTTAAACGGTGGAAGAAGTTGAGAATAGGAAGGTGGTATGGTGAGGGACTGTGGAAACCAGTAGGATTAATACGTTAGAGGTTCTGACCTGACTGGCCTTACCCTTTTAGGGCTCCAGAGGGGGAGAGGATTGGAAAGGTTGGACGTGGCCAGAGGTGGTTGCTTGAATTCAAGACTTTCAAAAGAGAGTGGCGTTGGTGGTGGATGGGTGGGGGTGGGGCCAGAGGTGATAGGGGAAGGGGGTTGTGTGTTGAGGCACTCTGGGAGTAAGTCCCTCCCATGGGGGAGGAATATATCATCTCTGAATGTACAGTAGTTGTACAGTAGGAGGCAGCCCGATTTAGTTTTATTTTTTGTTATTAAATTCTCGACAGTCCTTTCCCTCCCACCCACCACCTCTTTGGGTGATTGGCAGGATCCAAATTTCCCTAATGATAAAAATTACCAGGAGTCGCTACCCTCCTCCTAGACCTATTGAATCTTTTTTCCTCGGCGAGATTTACAAGTATGCCCAATGACTCTTTATCAGGGAAGTTTGCAACCATTGACCTACAGAATGGGTTTGTGTGGCCTGGGAGAGAGAGAGGGTGAGATTATTAGAAGAGTATTGAGATGGTGAGAGAAGTATCCTCCTTTTCTGTCTGAGAATTTGGACAAATTTGAAACATTTGGGGTGGCAGATAGAAGCCAAAATTAAACCCTCATTACCAATAGCATCAAAGCCAGAGGGTGTAGATTAGTATTGAAGTCCTATGATCCTGCAGAGAGAGGCCAAGAGTGTTAGTTACACAGGTGAGTGTCCTCCAAGAGGGAAGAAACATCAGTAGTGGGGAAGCAGCATTTTCATATGGTCAAGGAGATGAAGCAACTGTTGAGCCCAAGGTGTTAGATGAAGTCACTGAGAATGATGACTTGGAAGATAGAACACCAGGAGCTACAGTCTTTAGGGAATGAGGAGGTTGGTAGGTGGCAGCAGAATGGGTAGTGGAATGAATATATGTACAGGTTGATAGCTTTTTTTTTTTTTAATTTTTTTTTTTAATGTTTTATTTATTTCTAGGAGAGAGAGAGACAGCGTGAGCAGGGGAGGGCCAGAGAGAGAGAGGGAGTCACAGACTGAAACAGGCTCCAGGCTCTGAGCTGGCAGTCAGCACAGAGCCCGACGCGGGGCTCGAACCCACAAACCGCGAGATCATGACCTAAGCGAAAGTCGGACGCTTAACCGACTAAGCCACCCAGGCGTCCCGATAGCTATTTTTTAAGGGGCACTTACCTGCGTTGTAATTTTCACATACCTGTGTGGTTCTTTGATTAAATGTATTCTCCCCCAAGGCTGTGAGCCTCTCAATTTAGTGTTTTGTGTCCACAAGTGGATGAGTGAGAGTGGTAGTGCTTTGTGGTTGGTGGGATGAGGCGGCTCATGGGACTCCCTTCCATCTTGGTCCTGCAGCTGACATCAGCCTGGCCGCCTGGGGACGCAAGGCCCTGGACATCGCGGAGAATGAAATGCCGGGTCTGATGCGCATGAGGGAGATGTACTCGGCCTCCAAGCCGCTGAAGGGCGCCCGCATCGCTGGCTGCCTACACATGACCGTGGAGACAGCCGTCCTCATTGAGACCCTCGTAGCCCTGGGTGCTGAGGTGAGGCCCTCAGCTTTGGGGCGGGGGCGGGAGGTAGGGGAGGGAGCTGGGAAGTCTAATGTGGTGTCCTTCTGGGGCAGAGCAGAGGCTCCAAGCTTGTCACAGTGCCACCACCCTTTGTGGTGACTATTGGTAGGCATATTTTCTCCCTGACTGGGAAGCTAGTTACTGAGTTCCCTCAGTTCACGTCCTCCTGACTGAGGAGCTCTGGTAGCAAAATCTGAGGGCCCACTGAGTCTTCTGAGGACTGACTGGCTCTCATTGGCCCTCCCAGGGTCAAGTGCCTGCCATGGACCAAACACGGTGCTGAAAGGATGGTGTGCTCTGATTGTTTCAGCCTGGGTTATATGTACCCAATGGCTGGCAGCTCTTTTAACCTGTCTGGGAGTTTTGCAGTAAGATGGTTTCCCAAGATGGGGCAGAGAAGAGCAGCCAAAACCAACTGAGTACACCAAGGCTCATCCCTTGGGCCTCTTATTTCAACTTTCACACCCAGTGATCTGATTTTGTGGCCTTAAATCCTGTCTGTATGGTGCTGACTCCCAAATATATGTATTAGCCTGGACGTCTCTCTGAAACTCAGGCTTACATATCCAGCAGCTGATGTGTCAGTGCTCTCCACTTAGAGATCTAGTTGACATCGCAACCTCAACATGGCCACACTCATGATTTTCTGTTCCCCTTCTCTTCCTGCAGTCTTCCTCATGTAAGTAAATGGAAACACCAGCCTTCCAGGTTCTCTCAGTTCAAGAACCTGGGGTCATCCCTGACTCCTCATTTGCTCTCACCCCAACAACTAATCCTGCAGCAAAATCTGCCCTCCCAACCTTCAGAATGTACCCATCATCCCCTCCACTGCTACCATTGCATTTCTTGTCTGAACTCTTATTGCAGCTTTTTCACGTGTCTCCTTGTTCCCAGGTGGAGCCCTTCACCCTCCACATACTACCGGGTGATGTTTTAAAGCCTAAATCAGGTCTTGGCAATGCTCTGGCTCCCATCCAGTTGTCCCCAGCCTGCGGTTGAAGAGCCAGCTGGGCCTAGATCCTGAGCCTCTTCCCCCTCAATGCAGGACTTTGCTTTATCCCTGTCCAGTGACTTCAGTGCTTCTGAGCTGTCTGTGACCAGCAGCTCTGTCTTGTTGGCTGTTGTAGGTGCAGTGGTCCAGCTGCAACATCTTCTCTACTCAGGACCATGCAGCGGCTGCCATTGCCAAGGCTGGCATTCCTGGTGAGTCCTCTTTGCTGCTGGGGGGATGTGGGAATGCGTGAAGGGGCTCTGCTTCTCCCTGTTTGCTTCACTGACCCCTCTGTGACCGGTTTGGCCGGGGAGAATTCTAGCCTAATGATTTCAGGAAAGAGTTGTTTTGTTCCACTATCATCTGAAATCCTATGGAATGTACTTACTGGCCCATCTCAAATCATGTAAACAGGAAGGGTGGGATCTTATGGTTGGAAACCACATGATATTGAGGAGAGGAAGTTCCTTAAAGGACGTAGATTTATTTCCAAAAGAATCAGGGAGAAATGCTGGGCAGGAAAAGAGCCTTAGAGGTCCATTGTCTCGGGCCTGACGGTCTAGCAACCTGAGGAAAGACTGTCAAGCTGCTGGAGAAACAGGCACACATCTGCCAGGGCTTGGGGAGGGGAGTAGTTAACCCTGATGGTGATTAAATAGGACATTCACAATTTCTTCTAACCAGCCGTAGGTGGAAGGGAATGGGTGGAGGAGGATCCTTCCAGACCCTGGACTGGCATGTCCTCCCCTGTTCCTCAGCCTTATTTGGTCTCCATGACCTTTTCTGGGAAAGGCCTTGTTTTCAAGACCATTGTCTGCTTTAGTCTCGGGGAGGGGCACCTGGGCCTCCTTGGTCAGGGTCATTTGTTCACAGGAGATTCTTGAGAGCCCCATACGAGTGTCCCAGTCTGGGCTGGCAGTCAGGAGTCCTGGATTCTGATGCCTGTTCTGGAATGCCCATGCTAGTAACCTAGGTACATCTTAGCTCCTCTCCGAGCTGTAAAAGATGATGATTGTAATGCCTACCTCAAAGCGTTTCAGTGAGGAAAAATTAGATGGAGTATAAGGCAGTTAGAATAATGTGTGGCACAGAGAAGGTACTCCTTGCATAGTAGCTGCTGTTAGTCATTTTATGGCCAGACTTAGCCTGGGACAACCTACCACAGAGACTGCTGAGCAGTGTAGAATGAATCTTGGATCTTGAATCATGGATTCACTTGAGTGTAGTTTAGTGACCCTGTAGGACCTTTATCCCAGCAGTAGGCATTGTGGGTGGGAGCCCTCGTCACTAGGTTGATGTCCCAGTTGTTGAGGCCCAGGCAGAAAGGGGTAGGGAGGGAAAGATTATTTCCAGATACCTCTATCTTGGCTTCCATCTCACTTAATCAGTACTATTGGAGGTGAGGAAATAGGCTCACAGAGGTGAAGTGATTTGCTCAGTCACATAGCTGTTGAGTGTAGAACCGGGATTTGCATTTAGGTCTATCCGATTCCAAGTTGTGTTCTTTTCATTGCCTGAGTCCTCGGAGGTGCCGGAGGTGGGAATTAGGTAGGTTCTATCGGCTCTGCTCAGGTGGTTCCCCGGAGCAGGCATCAGTGGGGAGGGCCACGCCCTGATGTGCGGTACCATTCAAACTCTAGTGTATGCCTGGAAGGGTGAAACGGATGAGGAGTACCTGTGGTGCATTGAGCAGACGCTGTACTTCAAGGACGGGCCCCTCAACATGATTCTGGATGATGGAGGTGACCTCACGAACCTCATTCACACCAAATACCCACAGCTCCTGTCAGGTAGGTAGGGCAGGTGGGTGGGCAGGGTGTTCGTGGTGTATCTGGGGCGTGCTTGCCCATGTGAAAGCAGCAGGCCTGGCAGGACTCCCACTGCCTCGAGCAGCAGATTCTGTGGAAGATAGGAGGATGGCAGGCTCCTGCAGACATGCTGGGGCCTGGTTTCCTGATTTCTGATGGTGTGGGGCTGAGGTCGTGGGAGTGGGGCGGAAGAGGCTTGGCTAAGGTCTGGTTCAAGGGCAAGCATAGGTCAGGGCTGGGAACAACCAGAAAGGAGTCAGCTTTGTTAAAACGTGGTGGGGAGGAATGTAGAGGCAGTAATGAGTGCAAAGGCCTTGAGGCACAGGAAACAGAAAGGAAGTCAGCATGGCCAAGTTCCTTCACTGGGTAGAATTGCAGGATGTGGCTGGAACTTTAATGAGACTTAACAGGCCAAGAGAGAAGAGTTTGGCTTGATCCTGAGAGCAGAGAGAAGTGATTGGATGGTATTAAAGATTTCTTTGAAAATACATACGTTAAAAATGGTTGCTGGCCCCTGTGTAGAAAATGGGTCGTGGCTGGGAAACCATTCAAGAGATGATGGTGGTGAGGACTAGTGCAGTGGCAGAGGAATGGAGAGCTTGGGATTGCTGGGAGACGGAATCCTTCAGCCTGGTGGTGGTAATGACTCCTCTTGCATGCCAGCCTGGAGGATCGGGTGACTATGGTATCAGTCACAGAGATGGGAACTCAGAAAGAGGAGCAGCTTTGGGGAGTAAAGATGAGGAATTTGGGTGAATTGAGGTGTGGGCTTTCTGAGGCTCTTGTGGTCTCATTCCAGATGCACCCCCTTTATCCCTTGGGCAGCCCCTTCCTGGCTTTGGGCTCATTCCCTCCTCTCTTTTTCAGGCATCCGAGGCATTTCTGAAGAGACCACAACAGGGGTCCACAACCTGTACAAGATGATGGCTAATGGGAAGTTGAAGGTGCCTGCCATCAATGTCAATGACTCAGTCACTAAGGTGAGTCTGTGAATCAGTGTCATGTTCAGCTGTTGGTTCCTAGTGCAGCTTAGTAGTCCTCTGAAGAAAGGTGCATGGGAAGGCTCTAGGCTAGGGACTTGAAGCCTTTATTTGAGGGGGGTAAGGGGATGGTAACTAACTGAGGGTAATAAGTCCATTAAAGAGGAAAATAACTATATAGTGAGTTTTAGGGCTGGGCACCAAGAGCTTTAAAGTGAAGCAGGTTCTAAGCAAGTCTCTCCTAGCAGTTGATCCTTAGGGCCTTCTAGACTGGCATAGAAAGGCCAGGGAGAACATCTTGGGCTGATCAGGGCAAGGGGGATATGAGTGCATTAGCTGGTAGAGAGAAGCAATCAGCCCAAGACCCACTAGGCCAAAATGCTGAGTAGGTCTGAGGCCCAGGGGCCTTGTCTGCCCCCATCACCTCTTTGCCCCTCTTTTTTCAGAGCAAGTTTGACAACCTGTATGGCTGCCGGGAGTCTCTTCTAGATGGCATCAAGCGGGCCACAGATGTGATGATTGCAGGCAAGGTGGCTGTGGTAGCAGGCTATGGCGATGTGGGCAAAGGTTGTGCCCAGGCCCTGAGGAGTTTCGGGGCCCGTGTCATCATCACGGAGATCGACCCCATCAATGCACTGCAGGCTGCCATGGAGGGTATGATAGGGCGAGGGTTGGCTGTCAGCCACTGGGGCCAGAGAAGGGACAGGGGCACCCTGGATGACCCGTGGATACTGTCTCTGCACAGGCTATGAAGTGACCACTATGGAAGAGGCATGTCAGGAGGGCAACATATTTGTCACCACCACGGGCTGTACTGACATCATCCTTGGCCGGTAGGTGCTAGGTTGGGGGTCTCTGGAAGCGAGGGAAGGGGCAGGCTTGGGGCTGCTCTTTGTCCCTGAGTGTCTTCCATGGGTTGGTGCTCCCTGACAGGCACTTTGAGCAAATGAAAGATGATGCCATTGTGTGCAACATTGGACACTTTGATGTAGAGATTGATGTCAAGTGGCTGAACGAAAATGCTGTGGAGAAAGTGAACATCAAGCCCCAGGTGAGAAGTCTCAGCAGGGTGGACAGATGGGAGACTGCGGGGGACATGACTATGGGCTAGTCACCAAGAAGGGTAGATGAGGAGGCTCTGGCAACCTGGGCAGTGGGATGGGGGAAGAAGAGGGCCCATTTTCAGGGCCACTTAAATGAAAATCTTAGAATGATACCAAGACATCCCCATTTTTTAAAGCACCCAAGATGATTCTGCTGGGCAGCCATGGTTGAGCACCATTCCAACTTTTACTTAGCACGGTGGTTGAGAACATGGGATCTGTCCTTAAAATGTCCAGGCTCAAACTGCATCAACTTAACCATTTATTTATCTATCTATCTATTTAGATAAAGTTTATTTTGAGAGAGCCACATGCATGTGCACCTCCCCCCCCCATGTGCTCACATGAGTGGGGGAGGGGCAGAGAGAGAGGGAGAGAGAGAATCCCAAGCAGGCCCCACACCATCAGCGCAGAGCCCAATGCCGGGGCTTGATCTCATGACCTATGAGATCATGGTCTGACCTGAAATCAAGAATCGGATAGATGCTAACCATCTGAGCCACCAAGGTGCCCTACAACTTAACCCTTTAGTTTCTCTTAACTTTAGTTTAACTTCAGTTTCTCTATCTGTGAAATGGGGATAATAATAGTACTTCTATCATAGGGTTGTTATTAGAATCAAAAATGATAATTATACACACACACACATAGTTTGTGTGTGTTTTTAGCCCGTGGAATTAATAATAATTATTAACCAATATTTACCGAGTACTTAGTATCTGCCAAGCCATGTGTCAGGTATTTGTTCAGTTCATTAAATTCTCACAGCAGACTGGTGAGGTCTATAGCTCAGAGTTGCTTAATAAATATTAGCTCTTACTAATTGTAAGCTCCAAGTTCTTGCTGAAGGTTGCTTTAAGACAGTCCAGGTCCTTCACAGACACTATTGGAGGCAGGAAGGCCTGCTGGACAATAGGGCAGGATGAGGCAGCAGTGGACTTTGGCAACAGTGCCCTACCAACCCTCACTGCTGCTCTGCTTACTTGCAGGTGGATCGCTACAGGCTGAAAAATGGGCGCCGTATCATCCTGTTGGCTGAGGGCCGGCTGGTCAACCTGGGCTGTGCCATGGGCCACCCCAGCTTTGTGATGAGCAACTCATTCACCAACCAGGTGCTGGCACAGATAGAGTTGTGGACTCACCCTGACAAATACCCTGTTGGGGTCCACTTCCTGCCCAAGAAGGTGGGTTTGCATCTCTGTCCTCTTAGAGGTTCTCACAGGGTCCTCCACAGGGCAGAAATCATTCTCTTCATTTAACAGAGGAGGAAACTGAGGCCCAAAGCAGGGTATGACTCCCAGAGAGTGGCTGTTGTCATCTGAAGACTTGACGAGGGTTGGAAGATCACTTCACGTCCATGTTGGCGGGTCTCAATTCCTCACCACATGGGTCTATCTGCATAGGGTTGCTTAAGTGTCCTGATGAGATGGCAACTGGCCTTCCCCTAGAGTGAATGATCCACAGGAAAGCAAAGGAGGAAGCTGCAAGTGCCTTTTAGGACCTTGTCTCCAATTCCCACGACATCTTTTCTGCTTTCTTTTGTTCATTAGGAAGTAAGCCACTCAAAGGGTGAGGAATTGGTCTTCTACCTCATGATAGAAAGGGTATTATGAGTTTACGGACAAAGAACTTAAGGATATATTTTAAAACAATCACAACCATTTTAATCTAAAAAGGAAGTCTTGGCTATATAATGGAGGAGTCTAAGATTCAGACACTGGATCTAGGGATTTATCTTTCTCTTTGCCTTGGCTGTTTTCTTCTTTACGTTTGCTTCATCTGTCAAATAGACTTACCACTGATGAGCTGAGACTGATATTCTCACTGTTTAAGATTCCTTTCCTCTTTAGGAATTGAAGAGTCCCTGTTTCTACCTGTCATAGAAAATATGTTTTGTCCATAGATATATTCCAGAGGAGCATTTGGTTAGTTGCTTGGGTTGGTGGAGGGTGAGGAAAGAGATGTAGTTGATGGTCCTATCAGGGCTAGTTTGAGGGGAGTATGTAGCATAGTTCTCTCTTGAGGAAGGGGATCTGGGCAGCCAAAAACAATACATTCACTGAGGCTGGCTGTGAGGATGGAATAAGGAAATATTTGTAACACATATGACAGATGCTCCCACAGAATACTTCTTATCTCTGTTGGTAGCTGGATGCAGGTAAGGGGTCCCGCAGCATGGCACTGATTTTAGGTCTTCCTGTGTTTTTCTCCAGCTGGATGAAGCAGTGGCTGAAGCCCACCTGGGTAAGCTGAATGTGAAGCTGACCAAGCTGACTGAGAAGCAGGCCAAGTACCTAGGCTTGTCCCGTGAAGGCCCTTTCAAGCCTGATCATTACCGCTACTGAGAAGTAGTCCTGTTGTTTACCTTATAACTGCTGGCTTTGCTGGGGTCACACTTCTCTTTCTCAAGAGCAAATGGCACCAACTTTGGAATAGGTTTGTTAATGTCCCCCATTGACTCCCTGGGGCTGGTCACTCAGTCTTTAACCTCTACTGCATCCCTCATACTGCTCCAAGTGTGGCATGGTGAATTAAGAAGCCCCTTCTGGAGGCACCTGGGTGGTTCAGTCGGTTAAGCGTGTGACTTCGGCTCAGGTTATGATCTCAACTGTTCGTGGGTTCGAGCCCTGAGTTGGGCTCTGTGCTGACAGCTCAGAGCCTGGAGCCTGCTTCAGATTTTGTATCTCTATCTCTCTCTGACTCTCCACTGCTCATGCTATCTCTCTCTATCCCTGTCTCTCTCTCAGAAATAAATAAAAACATTTTTTAAAAAATTTAAGAAGCCCCTTCTGAAGCCCTGGTCATGATAGAGGTACACAGGGAGCCATGAGCTCAGGGGTTTTGGAACTGCTCTCTCAGTCAGTCCTTACTTAGGTTGGAAGTTGGCAGCGGTGGTCACAAAGCCCAAGCACTTTTCCATCTAGACCCTCCCCTGGCCTATGGCCTTTATACCCATGTTCTCGTTTACTGGTTCCTCAGCCCATGACCAATGAGAATGAACTATATCAAAGGGCAGGGAGGAACTATTGGCAGTTTGTCCCTGAGAGCCTGGCTTAGTGCTGGGCATTCTGTTGTTCAAGAGGTTTCTCAGAACAACGAGGTCAGTACTTTCAGTTCCTATTTTACAGAGGTTAGAATACAGTGTTACAGGACGACCAAAAAAGGACAAGAAAAGTGACAGCCAGAAGTTGAGAGGGGCCAGAGAATCATAAATGTAGGCAGAGATCTGCCACCTCTTTGTAACATGATGGTTCCTATCACGACCTTGGATCAAAAAAATTAATTTGGTTTATAATGTTAGAACAAGAAGGTGGGTAAATAAAAAATTTGGTGCCTAAAAGAATTTTGAGTCTTTATTATATAGGTAATCCACAGCCAACAACATATGGCATGAGTAAGGAGTTATAATAGTTCTGTGCTGATGACGGTGAGGGGTCATCTGCAGTGTGGGATGATAAAGGCTACAGGCAAACTCTTGGGCTTGGAAGAATGGGTAAAGTGAAGAGAGAACTCTGTTTCTTCAAGTGTGTCTCTTATAAAAAGCATGTTTTTTAATCTAAAGACTATCATTTAATTTCATAGGTGAATTTAGCCCACTTATGTTTATTGTAACCTCTATTCATATTTTTTCCTCTACCTTATATTTTTCTGTTCCAATTCATATTTCCTTTTCTTCCCATTTACACTTTGGGTTGATCCAGTGCTCCTTGGTGTATGTGAGAGGTGAGGAGGGACTATTATTTTTGAGCACCTACTGGATGCTGGGTGTTTTGTAGTTGGTTTTCTTTATTCTCACAACAAGCATAATAATAATGTTACCCTAATCTTAGAGATAAGAAAGACACCTCTATGAGTTTCCACTCCTAAGTTTATAAGAGGCCACATATAGGAAATTGAGTTCCTTCCTATTTGCCTAAATGGTCATATATTGAACTTTGTGCTGGTCTTGGAAATCAAACCAAAACAAGAACCCACCTGGAATGGGTAACCGGAGAGTATTCTAAGGGTCATCCACTGGATGGAGGGCCTGTTGTGGATATCAGGATGTTTGAGACCTGACCTTGGCCTTTTGGGATCTTGAGCTAGAGGGAGATCCACACAGAAGACAGCTCTGCCATCTCCTGACACTTCTCTTTTTCTACCCAGCTTTAGAGTTCAGTCCCTGGCAGCAGTAGGAGAAAAGCAGCAGGGAAGAGGTGATGCTTGAAATGGATTTTGAAAGAGGTGATAATTTTTAATAGGAGGAATTGAAGGCAAAGGTATTCTAGGCAGAAGAACAGCTTAAGCAAGAGTGAGTTGCAGGGAGGGGGTAGGGAAGAGTTGTTTGCCTATAGTATAGTGGGAGATGTGAGGTAAAGGACTAGAAAGGTGGCCTAGGGGACAAGAAGAATAGGCCTTAAACACTAAAATGAGACCTCTGGTTTTAATCCTAAAGCTGCACAGACTCCCAAAGTGTCTCTATTTGAACATTCCACAAATGTGGCTTGTTCATTTTTGTATTTTTGGCCTCTGGCTATGAGGTGGTATTATTCCCCATGTTACTAATGAGGACAGGTTCAGAGAGGCCAAGTGGCCTGACCCAAGATCACCTAACAATATATTACATGCATATATGAAACGACTCCACCGTAAATAATTTAATGAATTTTGGTACTTCAACGATTACCAGTAACAAGTGACATAGAACCCACTTCTCAACTGATCATGATACCAGTGGTCAAAACAATCCCATTACCATGCCCACTACTGTCTCTTGCATACCTAAGTGTGTGTCAGGCATTGTGCTTTGTAAGTGCTTATTTATTCCTCATGATAACCTGGTCGGAGCTTGAATTTCTGTTTTATAGATCAGGAAACAGGCTCTGAGAAGGGCCGTGAAAGTGAGCTGGCTTTTGTAGTAGATAGGATTCTGAGTTCTCCATCCAAGCCCAATCCCTACCCACAGGCCCAGGTTTACGAGGGTCACTAAAAGGCAAGACTTCCACCGGAAAGTGCTTCCTGTATCCCCCACCTCAGCAACTTGCCATGGTAGTCTTTGGGACGATAACTTCTCAGTGGAAAAAAGGGGCAGGCCACTGTTCATCTGAGCCAGAAAGGTTAAACACTTAAGGTCATATGCCATTCACTCTGCTCCCTCTAAGATGCTACTGCCCGTGTAGTAAGCGCACTTCCAACCCTCAAATCTGTCTCCTTCCAGACATAGGAAATACCTTTCCAGATGTTCCCTCCTGGGAGACCCCATGCAGTCCCCTACCTCCTGTCCTCTGTGAGTTCTGGTTTCTGTTATTCAGGCCCTTTTTCCTTCCCCTTTCCTCTTTGGAGATGTCCTGTCCGTTCCTCTTAAAAAAAAACAAAAAACAAAAAAGACAACACTGTGGTATAATGTGTCTTTCAACATTTTCATTCATTAAGATACAAATGTTTGTATACTTATACATAGAAGCATGTGGGAATGGCCTCAGGTAAACTCCATAAAACTACACTGTGTATTAAAAAAAAAAAAAACCCAAAACCAAAAAACAACCCTCTCCTTTCACATCTGGTCTCAGCTTTACCTCTGATCTCAGATCTGCTAATCTATCACATGTGTGACACTGACCGGGTACCCAAAATGAAAAATGATGTGTTTCCATGCCACACTCCTGATGTCTGGGCTCCACCATCAAAGCTTCATGGGGAAAAGAAGGAATTGGCTAAGGGTTCTGTAGTATCTCTAGCCTGGCTATCGCTGTAATTTTTCCCCCCAGGAAAGGAAGAAAGGAGGTTAAGGCCCTTCAGAGGGGGTGGGGGTTGTGAAGCAGTGAGCTGGGCTTTGAAAGGAGACATGGGTCTGCTGTTAACCCCCATGTTAGTTGGGGCAGTGACAGAAGTATCTGCTTCATGTGGCTGTTTTGAGGATCAAATGATGTAACATGTATGAAGAGTTTCATGTCAAGTTTTAAGTGCTGTGTCAAGCAAAGTGGGTGTGAGGGAGCTGTTTTTGAGGGCAGAGAATTTAGAATACTTGGGAAATGAGACAATGCTTTAGAAAAGTAATAGGATCTTAGAACTAGGAAGGATCTTAGAGCAACTATAGAGTCAAACCCACCATTTGTATATGGACATATGGAGGCCCAGGGAGAGTAAGTGACACACAATGTCATCCTGTAGATCCAGGTGTTGTCCAGCTTGCCTCTAGGATACCAGGCCCCTCTGCCCCCATCCATGTGGTGGGAGAGCCTGCTAGGCTAGAGTTGCTGGCATACTTATCAAGTCCTGGTGGGGACAAGTAATGAGCTTGGAAGGGTCATGGGGGCCTGTTGATACCAGTGAGAAGTATAGGAGGCAGCAGGCAGGGGTCACTTCTTTGGGGAGGCCTGGATTTTCAGGAAACCTCAGGTATCCAGATTCTTTTTCCAGAGGCCTGCTCAGGACTACTCCAAGGGACAAGACTAGGAAACCTATTTGAAGTGATGGAGGGAGCCAGGGAAGCTGATGTGATCCAGGCCTTGTCAGTCAGCTTCAACCAGTTCCTCATCTGTCAACTCTCCAGACTGGCTCAAGGATAGGTTCATGGCTCAAGTAGATCCAAACTCAACTGCAGGGCTCTTTAGGACTTTTACTAGAAATCTGGTGTGGTGCAATGTAGAAAATTGCCGAACAGTGACCACAGGAGCTTATCATGGGCTGCTTAGACCCATATTCCCCCAGGACAGCTGGCTTCCTCTCCTAGGCCGGGGGAGTTACAATCTCACAAGAGGCCCAAAGGTCTCCAAGTGCTAGGCAGTGGGCTTTTTCTGACAACTCCCATAAATATAGTTGGTACCCAAAGCTACCCTGCACATCACCCTAATGGTCTGCCTGCACTCACACTTGTTCTCATACTTGCCCTATTTCCAGGAAGAGAAATAAGTAGGTGGGAGCATAGGCCTACAGTGTATCCAGCAGAATGCCCTGCCTCAGCATGTCTGTCCACGGGGACCTCTGCCTGCTCTTCTACTAATTGCTGACTTATGTGTAACCCCACTAATGCCTGTTCCTTAACCCAGTGGTCAGCAAGTTTAGTGTGCATCAGAACCACCTAGAGGGCTTGTTAAAACACAGGTTGCTGGGTCCACCCCCAGAACTTCTGATTCAGTAGGTCTGGGATTGGGCCCTATAATCTGCATTTCTATCAAGTCTCCAGGTGATGCCTACACTGTACGCTATATAGTAGTCATTGTACAATTTGCCTCTGTGCCTGTTGCACAGCAGATGGCAGCTGGATGGAGAAGAGGAGTGCTCTTCAATGGGGCTACCAGGATTGGCAGGAATGTGAACCCAGACCTGCTACTTTGCCCCCACGAGGGGAAGCCTACCTGAGGGTGACACCACACAGAAGTGGGAGACAGTGACACATTCCAGAGGACCTGCATCTAGGCTTTATACTAACTAGAAATACCTTCTGGACTTTTTTAGTGATGTGAACAATAGCAAAGTTCCCTTTTTCTTTTGGCCTGTTGGAACTAGGTTGCTGTCCCTGCCAATTTCAAGAGTCCTCCTGAGGTGGAGAAGACAGATATGGCACCAGGTTGTAGGAAAATTTAAAAAATGGGAAAAGGCCTTGGGGCTGAGTCAGCTGTAAAGTGTTGGCTCTAGGCAG